AATATGACATGAACAAGGGAAACACCAATAAACACACTAATGTAGATAGGGAAAAGCTCATGAGGCAGTGACCTTAGACAAAGAACTTTAGGTAACTTAGGACTGCTGAGAGAAAGAAAACCAGGCTTCTTCAGGTAAGAGCACAACAACAATTGGCTATCCAATACAAAATTTAATACTTGAAGTTGCATACACATATGTAATGTTTTACAGAGTGATTTGGTTGTATTTATATATTTTATGTATTTAGGAATGTCTCCCCCACCCTCCACACAAATAGAAACAATTACAGAAAAACAAGTCATGACTTTGAAAGAGATCAAGGGGGATGGGAGAGTATGTTGTAGGTTTTGGAGGGAGGAAAGGGAAAGGGAAATGGTATAATTATTTCAAAACAAAAGAGAGAAAGAAATCATTAAAGATAAAACCCTTATGGGTTCTGTGAGGATTTGTAAAACTTACAGGATTTGCAAAGCCCCTCCCCAAGGTTACAAGCACAGTAAAAACATCTGGGGAAAGAGACTCTGTCCAGCTCGGCTGTCCAAGGGAGACTCCCATGAACTGAGATGCCTATATCTGAAAAATTGATTAAGACATACAGCGTCCCAGGGTTCCAGGCTTCATGAGTCATCAAAAACCCACCATGCTGGAGTGGGTCTTTCAGTAGTGATGCAACTGTATTTGAGTCATCCTGTTTCTACAACTAACTTCTCACCCACACTCCTGGAAGCAACATCAACAAACACACCACGTTGTAAACATCAACAAACATCAACAAACAACGTGGTTCACCACGTTGGACTTCAGTGTAATTGTTACTTCTGCTTTATTCTCTGGGGTGAATTGACATGTTTCCCCATAAAATGTCATGTAAAACTTGTCTATCTGCTTCTGACTGTTGAGATGGTTGGGAACTAGTTGAGGAGCTATTTTAGGATGACTAGTTGAATGATTTAAGAAGTCCTAGTGCTGTCAAAAAAAATCTTTAGGAAGCACAAATGGATGTAGCAAATTACATTGTTGTTTTAAGAGAATTTTGCAGCCATCCTATCCTTCAGTAACTAACACCCCGATCCACCAACTGCTATTAACCTTCATGCAAGACTCCACCAGCAAACTCTTTCGAATTCATGGAAGGCTCAAGTGATCTTTGGCATTTTATTGTTGGTAAAATGAAGCCTTTTAATGCATGCATTTAAAACACATCAGTCTTGCAGAGTTAATGTTCTACAAAAGTGTAAATATAATTTTACAAGCAGACACAGTCTAACTAACTCATGTGATTCATTATGACATTTGAATTATTGGGGATGGAGCACTGTATTGGCAATATCCCCATAGGTATGTGAAAGTCATACACACCTGCTTAGCTCATCATTCACTTTTGGATTTAATTAAACATTTCGGACGTTCTAATAACTATAATTTCATTCAGTGGAAATAACAATAATTTTACTTTTTCCCTTCACAATGAATTTTTTCCCATTGCCTGATTAAACTAGAATGTTGAGTAAAAGTGAAGATAATGGGAATTCTGATTCTTTTTCCAATTACAGAACGCTTTTATTGTTAACATTTGATCATTTAGCATGACAATTTTTCTGATAGGTGTTTTATGTAAGACTAAGTAGTCACACTCAATGTGGTATAAGTTTTAAAACTTTTATTAGTTTTTAATTTTTTTTGTGTGTGTGTGCATGTTTGTGAGTGTGCATGTGGAAGTCGGGAGTAATTCTCAGTCTTCTTTCCTGTCACTGTGGGGTCCTGGGGTTGATCCCAGGTCTATCATCGATTCTTTCCACCGAGACATCTTGCTTGCCTTGACGTAAGTTTTTAGTACGCTTGCTGTTGTTACTAAGAATTGAATTTGATCAGGTAAGATGGCAGCTTAGGAGCCACACTGGAACTAATGATTGACTATAGTTGGAGAAACAAAGGGAACAGGAATGCTCTATCATTCTATCAGCTGCTTCTCCAGTCCCTAGGATACAATTGCTCAATATCCCAGTATTTTTACCCATACTTGTTGTAACTGCAACTGTGGCTGCAGAATCCAGTGGATTCCAGCAGATGACTGAGGACTGGGTTATAAGACCTCTTCTAAGAAATCTACAAAGCTGTTCCTATGAGGATTTTATGGAAGGGAATGGAACCATTATTTGTATAGCAAATGAAATGGTCTATTGAGTGACAAGGAAGCTTACATAATGAGAGGAAATCTTTGCCAAATGTAGACATGACTGAAGGTTAATATCAAGAATGCAAAAAGAACTAAAAAAATAATTAAAATAAACAACCCAAGAAAAAGTAGGTTGTAGATGTAAACATTGTAAATAAATCCTTTTAAGTTGCTTTTATTTTTCAATGTCACATCATCAAGAAAATGCTAACACAAATTATAAATATTACAATGATTTAAACTACTATTATATTTCAGCTTAAAACCATGAGAGGACTGTTAGATACTTTAGCTCTTCACTGAGAACCAATGACTCATCCTTCCACCTCAAATGTAGACATGCTGCTGCAAAGTGGCTTCACAGTTGGGATTGAATTTCAAAACATCACACTGTAACACCCTTACTCATAGGTGGGGCTGTTTGTGTAGCTTTTCAAATCACACTAGAACAGAATGAAGCAGATACGAAGCAGGTGTGTCTTGTTCATATTTGAGTAATAGATGAGACTTTGAACCATGGTGGAGCAATGAAAATAGATGATACGAACCTTTGAATTGTTACCTACACTGAATACTTTTGTCTAAAAGGGTTATGATTCTGTTTTGTCAAGACATGGATGTGTATATCCTACAATATAGTAGTTCTACATTATCCATGGTTTCAGTACTCATAGTTTGAAAATGTTAAATGGAAAATCCCGGGGATAAATAATTCATAAGTTCTAAGTAAGTGCGACTTTAATAGCATGATAAAATGTGTCATTTTCATTCTTTTTTTGCTTGGGACATGAATAATTTTTTCCAGCAAATTCATATTTTATATCTACCAACTAAATACCATCTTGGCTGTCAGATCGACAATATATTAGGTGCAACTTCATTCAGACTAGGTATCTGAATGCATGTGTTCATGTAACTTATTTTAAAGTTTTTAATTTGAGAAAAATTATCTTTGCTGGACATTTCAATATCTCGTCATCAAGTCCTCAGTTTCTCTTATGTGGATACATTTGTATTTTTTTCTGTTGTGAGAATTCTAATTCTACTCATAAAGAAAGATATTTAAAATATTTAAAACTACATATTATTTATGTAAGGATTTTCAAAGACAAAATACAATTAAACTATTCCACATTCAATTTAATTATTTTTTCCAACTATCATATGGAGACATAGCACTGTAGATTTATTTAAAGCTCCATATAGAACTTAAATTTTTAAGTAAATGTTTAACATAATGTAATAATATTTCATTTTTATGTAATATTTGATTTTAAATATATGTATAGCTAATTAAAAATTAATTCAAAGGATAACTTACATTGATATCTGTTAATACAAAATAACTATTCATGAATAAGTAGTTTAAGTTAGTTATAACTTCACATTGCAGGGAGGAGAGATACAAGGCAAGGCACCCTACACATACATGTAGTTCTTGCTGATTAGTCACTACTATCATGTGCAACGGCATTGGTGTCTATTTGTAATTTGTTTTTACTAGATGTTCACGGATACTGGTTTCCTGTTGCATGCCAATATATTAGGTGCAACTTCATTCAGACTAGTCATTCATATTCAAATCACGTCTTAAAAGTTAAGTGAATAGTTGCTCATGGAAGAATTAAAATTATGTAAAGTATTTGAGAAGCACTCATCAATTTCAAATAGGTGGATTTTGTTTCAAGCTGAGAAGCCTGAATTTTGCAAACACAGTGAATCACTTACATAGCGTTTCTTTGAGGAACTGACTGATGTGAAATTTGTGTACTTTCACCTTTATTAATATCATTTACTGCTTACAAAAAGCATTACTCAAAAGGGGTGTGTTTAAAGATCTTTAAATATAAGACAATGCAGAATGCAAACCAGAACAAATTCTCCCTTTGTGTTATTATGAATATGAGCAGATGTATAAAACATTTTCAGTTTTGGATATGACAGAATTAGTTTTATCATCTCACTAGGTGTACATAAAAGACTAAGTAATTTATGTGAATTAAAATAAAAGAGTTTTATTGAAAGACAGGCACTTTTGAAATTAGTACAAATCAACAATGAAACAATCAGGAAAATTACATTTGAATCATTTCTTAATAGGCACATATAATATATATAAAATTTTACAGTTTCCTTCTTTTTTGCTTTAACTTTTAAACATTTTATTCCTGAGGTTTTTGGAATCCATTGAATTTCCAAATTTAAGAAGAAAAAAAAACAGTCTTGGTTTGAGGCTGAACTGTGAATCTTCAGTGTTAGTAACAGTATCATTTTCCCACACATCAGACAGTTTATTAGGACATGGTCACTCTGGAATTCATTCCCTAACTACTGACCTCCTCACACACATCAGATCTTCAAAGAGTAGAAATGTTTAGCTTGCAGATCATGTACAAATTCTTATTACTAAATATTTCCATTGCAAAGTAGCTTCCCCCTTTTGAAGTGCAAACATACAAAATGAATCACTTAAGGTTTTGATTTAAATAACAATTCAAGTATCCCATTTCTGAAACCATTAATATTTATGAGCCACAGTGATAAATATGTTTTCTGAAAGGCAGAATATCTCTTGGATATCATTTGTTCTGTTATTAGATTATGTAGGTTATAACCCAGGTTTGGCTTGCACTGTATTTTTGCTAGCTTATAATAATCTTTATCTACACATTTAACTAATCATTTAGAAAAATATTAACATCAGATATATGAAGGTTGGTTTCATACTACATCACTTCATTTAAAAGCTATATTAGTAAAGATGCAGTCTGAGTGAGTCACTTGTGCTTTTTTTTAGTTATATGGTTGATGCCTAAGATGTTCATGAATCTTTTACAAAAGATGGCATGATGTCATAATCTTGAAAGTGAATTCCTTTAGATACTGTGATCTTCATAATGGCACCATTGAAGTTATCATCTTCAATGAGTGTTATTAATCCATTGGCAATGGTGGATGGACTAAAAACAAAGGAAACATTTGTATTTTGAAACTAAAGAATAAAACTAAACAGCTTCACAACATTTTCTTAAGCAGCCACATACTTGTCATAGAGAGACTAATTCATTAAGCTATTGTTACCTTTAATTTTTATTCATTGAGATGTTAAGTAAATTGTATAACGAATTTAGTGGTCATTGCGCCGTGCATTTGAGGTCATTAATTATATTGCTAAAAATGATAATTTTCTCATCTATACAAGATCGGTAGATATCAGACTTACTAGACAGAAACTTCATTGGAGGAGAAATTGAATTAATTAACAGCATTTATTGAAGACCATGTTTCTAGTAGCATTCCATGTATCATCTTATTGGTCTGCCAAAGATCCCTACATTTGTTATACTATCCCATTACATGTGAGAAAACTGCTACTTTCTGAAATTTGGTGGGTAGGTTCATGGTCAGTGGGGGAGTAAAAGCTGAGATTTGATCTTATTTCTGACTCCTTCAACATAATAGCTATAATTCTGTGCTGAGTGAATCTCATCTAACTCATCTTGCAAAAGCCTCATCTGTTTTTTTTTTTTGTTTTTTTTTTTTGTTTTTTTGTTTTTTTTAATGAAAGATACCCTTATGCCATGGCAGTATATTTGGATTTTGTTATTTATTTTTTTCATGAAAGTTTTTTTATTGGAAATACTCTTTTTCATAGATTATATTCTGATTATGGTTTCCCTCCCCCTACTCCTCCAAAATCTCCTCCACTTCCCCACCCCTTCAAATTCACATTCTTTATTTCTCTATCACACTAGAATACAAATAAATTAGGCATATAAAGTAATGATGATAAAATAAAATTAAACAAAATAAAAACTAGAATATGATAAAACAAACAAACCAACAAAAAAGAGCCAAAGAAAAAGCTCAAGAAACACATAGACACAGAGACACACAGAAAAATCCCATAAAAATACAAAATAAGGTTTTAAGAAATGCCCTGACAAAGCATTATGGGACAACTTCTAAAAATGCCATTGAGTTTTGTTTTGTGTTGTCTATCATAAGGTCTGGGCATAAGGTCTGGCCTTAAGAGTTATTTGTATGTTCACTGTGACTTCATTGGAGAAAACTAATTGTCACTTTCAAGTGGTTGTCAATTGGAGATATCTTCTGGGTTAGGGAATGGGGCTGGTGTCCACTTTCCTTCTCAGTGTTGGGACCCTATCCAGCCCAGACCCGTTTAGACCCTGTGCACGATGCCACAGTCTATGTGAGTTCATATTTGTGTCAATCCATCTATTCTAACTTAGACACAGTTCTTTGATTGTGTGATTGTGTGTTCATGTTTCTCTCTCTCTCTCTCTCTCTCTCTCTCTCTCTCTCTCTCTCTGTGTGTGTGTGTGTGTGTGTGTGTTTGTGTGTGTGATGACCAACTGTTTTTATGAAAGTGACTGAAATCTGGGGGCCATACAATATTACACACAGGATTTACTTGATTTTTGCTTGAAGTTTAGGGACGTAAAGTATAATGGCCTTAGAAGGTGAACAAGTGTCATTTAGAAAAGAAATCTGATGAACGCTGAAGGTACTGTTTATTTTCAAAGCAAATTTTATAACATTTAAACACAATTCTATTTCTCGTGCCTGTTTTTCCTTTCAAAATATTTGTCAACCTAAACTCTGAGATTTGCATCATTTTCTAAGTTTAACACATTAGAAACATTGATTGCTTGTATAGATTATGCTTTTATCCATTGTGGAAAGTTCTACTTACTCCAAGATGCCATAGACTTTCATCATAGCCTTGATCTGATCCATATATTCTATGTATTGGCCCATATTTTCTTCTTTTTCAATGGACTCAAGGATGGGTGTGTTGACAAAGCCCGGACAAATGGCATTCAGTCTTACCCCACTCTTCATAAGGTTAGCAGCCATCTGCCAATCAGAACACAGTTGCAGGCTTCAAGAGCTTTGCAGAAGTATAATCCAGGGCAAACTGAAAGAAGTTCTCTAAAGGCTAATATAAAGCACACTAATCAGATATGTTCTGAAATGTGGAACAATTACAAGTGGGCCCATAAGGTATAAACACACAGAATTCATTCATGAAAGCTCCACTGCATTAATGGTGGTACTTTTGTTGGTCTGGCCTTAAGAGTCATTTGTATGTCCACTCAGACTTCACTGGAGAAAACTGACTTTCATTTTCAAGTGGTTGTCAATTGGAGATATCTTCTGGGTTAGGGACTGGGGCTGGTGTCCACTTTCCCTCTCAGTGCTGGGAGTACCACCATTAGAAAACTCCTAAGATTAGAAAATTATCTAAGCTGCTTGCTCTCTTTACTGAACTCTTTGGGGACCTGAAGGTAAGCAACTGGCATTTATCTTGAGTCAAACATTTTAATATAAGTTCTATTACTTGTGAATCCAATATTTCTACAACATATAAAGGTTACTTCTCATTAAACAGAAATGCACATAAAACAAGGTTGAATACTTGATTGACAAGGATGTTGTGAACTCAGGCTTTTAATAACTTCACCTTTTGTTTCTTCCATATATGATGGTTCAGCATTTACTAATCCAGCATTTGCAAGTAACTTCATAACTGTTGTGAACAATGAGCACTGACTGGAGAAATAGTCAGTCATAAACTTAAATGTGAAATTTCTGCTTTGTAATGATTTACTTTCTTCTGGAACATTGAAATATTTTCAAATTAAGTTCTGAGGCCTAATCAACCCAAATTATGAGTAAAGGCTGCCTTCCTTCTTGGGGGTGATTATACTTTTTTCTTTTCAGATTTTTTTATTTGAATTAGAAACAAGATTGTTTTACATGCCAATCCCACTTCCCTTCTCCCTCCCTTCCTCCCCTACTACCCCCCCCCATTAAAATCCTACCTATCACATATCCTTTCTTCTGTTCTTCCCCTGACTGAACCTTTCTGCTCCCTCATGGCCTCTGCATCCTTCCTCTTCTTCCCTTCTCATTCTCGTAGCTCCCTCCCCCCTCTTCCCATGCTCTCAATTTGCTCAGGGGATCTTGACCCTTTCCCCCTTCTGCAGGGGACCATTTATGTCGGGGATGATTATACTTATATGACTATTATTATAAGCTTCTGCTTATACTTTCTTTTTGTTAATGCAAAACACTTCATCTCTCTGGTCCTTCCATCCTATCCAGTACCATCCTTTTCTGTTGTTTGTGCTTTGTAATGCATTTCCTAAACAGCACGCAAAATTCTATTTAATTGTTCCATTTAAGGACTCCTGACATTAATATTGCACAATTTTAAAAACAAAGAGCATTTCCCCATTATTTAACCTTCAAATGTTCATTAGTGTCACCCACCACTCCCCTATTTTACAGTGATATATTCTTTATTTAGTCTTTTAAATGACCAAAAACATTTTTATTATAAAAAATTTAAGTAAGATATCTCCTCCATCTTTTGGCTAGATTTTGTTTTTGAATTTTAACTTCTTTTCTTATAGTCTATAAAATTTGGGTTTTATTTAGAAGGGCAAGGAGGAAGAGAATCTGTGGTTTATGATTTCCTCACCGCGGCTGAGCGTGTGAATCCAATTATGCCATGCTTTGAGGCACAATAAACAGGTTGTTGTGCAATAGGCATAAGTCCTGGAAAAGAAAGAAAAAGTCTACATAAGTTGATGTTTTAAAAAGTGGACTATATTCTAAAGACTACGTACACGATGTTTTTAGTCACATCAATTTAAGATTAATCTGGAAAATATACTCAAGTGAAACCAGATACCCTTGTGGAACAGCAAAACCTAAAACAATCCCAAACAAACAACTATCCCACAGAACCTATTTTACTTGAATGACTGTTGCTGTCAAGCTTATTTCTCATATCTGTCAAAACTGAACATTCAAACTTAGCTAGTCATTTATATTCTTTCATGTCTAATGAGTTTTTTCCCATTAACTTCATTTTCCCTTTGAGACAGAGTCTCATGTGTATCCCAGGCTGTCTTTGAACTTGTAATCCTCCTGGCTTAGCCTTCCAAGTACCAGGATTATGGGTGTGTACTACCTTGCCCGACTCAAGTGATCCAGTTTTAACAATACTTTTAAATATGTAATTCCTCTCAGTCAAGAAACAGGGACTGGCCCCTGGTTATTGTGAGATCCCTACAAGATGTCACATGAGTGTTGAACTATTCTGCTGAGATACGCCAGTCTCCACCCAGCTAACTAGTCACACAACACCACCACACAGTTGAGAGTGTCATGCCAAAGTTCAGCAATAAATGTGGACCTTAACCACTCCCTGGGTGCCTTCCAGGCTTCCATTTATGAAGCATGTTTGCTCTAGAGCAGTTTAAATCCCTGAGGATGGCAGATCACACCTAGTACTCAGTGATCTCAAGGTACTGGAACATGTTGCTCCTCTTGTTTTGGGTCAGTGAAATGTGCAAGTTAATGACATATGTCAGTGGCAGTCAGCAAGAATTTACAATGTCTCCACTGGGTACACAGGGATGTTAGAAGTGTAAGATAAAGAGAACAAGAGGGTGTAGCCAAATGGTTCTGTTTATGTTTCCTGTATCACCTATTTGTTACAGGTATATGGGACAAAGGTAGTGTTTGGAGGACAGTGCTCACATCCTGTGCAGGAAACAAAAGGTGAATCTTAGTCACAGATAGGCTAGTTGACAGAGCCATGAAAACAACAGGGATATAGTTCATGAATATTATCAAAGATGATGAATGAATGAATTTTTAATAAATATGTAGAGTTGACAAACTTATGATCTCTAGCTACTTCAAGGTGTCATACATGAGAAATATATTAACTTGTGCTTTGTTGGCTGTGATTGTGAGCAAGCACAAAATACACATGCCATTTCTTCAGAAGTAGAATTATAAATACAACTGGAATGCCAATGAGCTTGTTTGCTTTTATGTGTAACTATAAAAAAAAAAAAACCAAGCAACTAATCAACCCACCAACCAAACAAACAAATGAAAAACCAAGGTCTCATGATGTACCCCTGTCTAGCCTCAAATTTTCTGTGTGGCATAAACTGGCCTTGAACTTTCAATACTTCTGCCTCAGCCCTGCAAGTGCTTGAATTAAAAGCAAGAGCTACCATACCCCAGTGAAGTCGTTCTCATTGGAAAAATAGAATTGGGCTTTATGGATTTTATTTTAACATTCTAATTAAGTTTATATGTATTTAAAGTTATATAGCTTTACTGAGTTATAATTGACATAAGTAAAACAGCATATTGTTAAGGTGCACAGTTTGCTAAGTTTTGACATATGTATAAACAAATGAAGCCGTGAGCATAATTAAGACAATGAACAAGTCCATCGCCTTATGATTCTTCCTACTTCTTTCCTTCTGCCCTCCTTTCTCCACTAAGAAACTACTGATACACTGAAGTGTTGTTTTGGTTTGGTTCTTTCATTTGTGATAACTTTGTCGGAATTCATTCATAAGTATCTTATTATTATCATTATTACTATTATTACTATTATTATTCTGCTAAACAGCAATCCACTGAATGACATAGCATTTATCTATACTATGCATTCACTTGGCAGTAGATATTTGGGCTGTTTCCAGTTTTGTGTTGTTAAAATTAAAAATAAAAAGTAACCCTCCAGTTACACATTTGGTCAAATTTTAGATGATTTGGTTAAAGGGAGATTTTTTTTTCCCATCACACAAAGGGAGTTCATTGCAGTTACTGCCTCCCATACAATCCATAGGGAGGATTATTGATCTGCATTGCTTCACATAGAGTTGTATGGCTGGGTATAGTGTGACTTTGGGACTCCATTGGATGGTAGTTTGAGCTTCTGCCTTCATTTGGCTTTATCTCTTCCTCTGTAGCAGCAAATATAGTTATGCTTTGGAAGCATTGACTTTCTGTTTGGCTAAATCTGCAAGCATGCCAAACAACTACAGACTTGTCCCTGATTCTCTGTTTTATGTATGTCCCTGCACTGCATGACTTTATCTACTTCCAGTGAAAACAGCCTCCCAGTTTCTCTTTTTCTGTAGCCTGTCCATACACACAGATGGGGCCAATTACTCTCAAGTTTAAATTCTGACTTTCCAGCAAGAAGCCCTCATCTGCTAGGCATGCCTGACACAGAGCTTTGTTTCAGTCATCACCACATCGCCTGCCAGTTTTCTTTACTTAAATTATATGTATACTAATTTCACCATTTGGGTTGCACTGAATTAAGCACAAAGAAAGCACATATGTAAATTAAAATGCATACTAGTACTATACAAAAATGTCACTTCTAAATATAGTTATTATTTAAAGATGACCTCCCCCTTCAAGAAACTAACAACTTTCACATAGACTGGGAGAAAATACTTCTAAAACATGTATGTAATAAGCTACTGTAAACTAAATATACCTATACATTTTTAAAACTCAACAGAAAAGAAATGAAAAACTTTTTAGTGTAAACAAAAACTACCTCTCGGAAGAAGATACTATATGTATGGCAAAGAGGTATATGAAAATATGCTTAACTTATATATCATGAAATTGCAAACTAAAATGAGATACCCGTTCACTTTTTAGTGCTGTCTCTGGCCATCTTTGTACCCTGGATAGCATGCTGTCATCTCTGCTGTCCTTGTCACATGCACACAGGCAGTCACAAGTTATTTTCATACATAAATTCTTGTTCTCTGGCAGGAACTAATTGGAATAGCCCAAATCTAGACACTGGCAGTTACAAATGCTGGCAAAATACAATAGGGATTTCTATTCATTGCTGGTGGGAATGCAAAATGGTACAGGCACAATGGAGTCTGCCTGGTAGCTTTTGACAAAATGTGTTTTTGTAACACAGCTCAGCAATTGTGCTCCTTGGCACTGACCCAAAGTAATTGAATTCATATGCCCTCACAAAACCTGTGTATGGATGCTTCCAGTGGTCTCATTTGTAATTGTGCAAAGTTGGAGTCAAGTGAGATATCATTCTATGAGTAAATGAATACATGAAGCATAGGAGACTGTACTCAGCACTAAAAATAAATGAGATACCAAGCCATGAACAGTTGAGGAGGAAACTAAACTGTTTATTGTGAAGAAACAAAGCTGAACTGCAAGAATGACTTACAGTATGATTCAAGCTATGGCTTCCCAAAGAAGGGCAAAGTTATGGAGACAGGAAATAGGTCTGTGTTTACCGGGGCTGGATAGGGAAGGATGAATGGATAGAGCAGAGGATCCTCAAGGCAATGAATGTAGTATGTCCAATATGGAAATAGCTAGTGTGAGTCAGTGTTATCTGTTCAAGTCTACACAAAATTAACCTCACGAAGAAGTCACAATACCATGTCTACTTCCATGATCAAGGGAATGCTAAATTTCAGTTAAGCTTGATGAAAATAAAGACTGTACTTATCCACTTTGAAGACCTTTTAATTTAATCAAACATGTGTCCCTGTGGTGGTGGTGTGGTGGTGGTGCTGGTGGTGGTAGGAGAATGAATCCTAATGTAAGTGATGTATTGTAAAATATGTGTCAGGGCATATTCATCTATTGTAACACATGTACCACTGTAGAAAGGGAGCTGATAGTGAAGGAGATGGTTACTAAGTGGTGATAGAGATGTATGCACATTCTCTGTACTTTGTTCCCATTTTTTTTCAACCTAATACTCCTCTAATAAAATAAAGTCTATTGAAAAACAGTATTCTTGGTTTTGTTTTAATTTGAGACAGGATCTGATGACTGTATTCTAGCTTAACCTGGAACTCATTATGTAGCAACCCAGACTAGTCTTGAAGTCAAAATCCTCCTGCCTCACCTTTTTTGAGTAGTGGGATGACAGGAGTGTATCACTAAGCTAGGCAATGCCATCATTTTTTAAAAATGTGTTAAAAAGGATTATAGCACAGTGGGTTGTAGGATGGGTATCAGACAGAATGAGGTCAAGTCTTCAATCCATGGCCTATGAGCCATGTCAACTTTGCAGAGATAATGCAAGCCATGGTAGTAATAAAAGCTACTGTGAGTCTACACTAAATCAATTTGAAGGTGTGCCATGACATAAAAAGTGGAAGAGAAATCAGGCACTAGGGAAATGTCTGTTTTGAATAGACTGACTGGCTAGCGAGCTCTTGCATCCTCCTGTCTCTACCCTTCAGTACTGGAGTTACAGGCATAGGTGGCCAGGCCAAGCTTGTTTGCTTGAATACAGAGGATCTGAATTCAGGTTTTCATGCTTGCATGTCAAATGGTTTCACTCACTGAACTGTCTCCCCATCTATCCTAAGAAACCCATTTGACATATGGGGGTGTCTTATGGCAGCACAGTTATCCAGTCATCAGCAATAAACCAGACTTCATTTTTGTTGTACCCTCCCACATTTTTTTTTAATACTTAAGAATGGGTGTTATGAGTGTTTGTATACTGTGCTTAGACAAAAACCCCACAGTAGAGTACAAGTGGTCAGCAATGGCCAGAATCTCTTCTGGAGATGCAGGTGGAGCACATTCATTCCTCCACTCAGGCTCATCTCACTCTGCTTGTTACACCCATTAACTGCATTTGAAACTGCGTCACTGGTCATTACTCATTAAGTTCTCTGCCCAAGCCAGTGTGACAACTTGAGGTTTTTCTATGGCAATGAAGGCCTCTGCAAGTCTGTAAGAAATCATAAGGGCTGAGTTGAACATGACTTGCAACTCTGCATGCACTAGAGTGAGAAGAAAGAGCAAAATCCAAACCAAAAACATGTGAAGGAAGCCATGAAAACACACAGGAAGTGAATGTTAAAAACACTTTGAAAGGGAGAGTCTTCTCCAGGGAAGAGCATTCAATTGGTTAGCCAATAGCAAGTGGTCAGCCCCGAAAACATAGATACAAATAACATTACACAGATAAACAGCTTATATTTAGAAATATATATATATATTCATGTAACAACAATTAATGAAAAAAGGGGACCATAAATTTGAGAGAGAACAAAACAGGGTATAATGATAAGGAGAGAGGAAAGGGAGGAGATAATGTAATTATAATCCCCCAAATAAAATAAAAATTGCTTTCTATTTAATAATACCTCTAAGATTTTTGTTTGTTTGTTTGATGACCTCAATCTATGTACTATGGCTCAAGGTCTTCTATTGAGCTACATGCTTAACCTTTTTTTCCCCTTTGAGACAAAGGTCTCACTGTCTTCAGACTGGCCATCTTCCTTTCTGCTCCTCTGGAATATTTGGATTACACTCTGAAATTTTATCAAATGGACCTACTTTGTATGAATTAGACATCATTTGATAAAATACAAGACTGCTTTAAAACTTTGGTGATGATGTCATGTTAGGGAGTGCTCTGGGTGGGAAGAGTGGTATCAGGAGACTGGCTAATGAGATGAGGAAATGATATAAAGCATGCTAGGTGTGGCAGCTGCATTGGTTGAGCAGAGGATAATAGGAGAGAGCTGAGAACCGGCAGAGTGAACAAAGAGAAGCTTAGTCCATTGCTTAGTCTTTTGAAATGTAGTGTCTTGTATGTTAGGATGAAAATCAAAGGGAGAAGGAGTTTGGAATGACATAGTAATCATTATGGACTAGAAAGTTAATTTAAAACCAAAACAGTCCTATCACTGAATTTCTACTAATCCACAGTTTCACCTGCAGGGACAAACGTTCATACATAGTTGTAGATTTGTGTCTGAAACAGGCAAAAAGTAAAATTAACTCCAAGGGTGATATGATGAACACAACTCTTAACCCAGGAAGCAAAATGAACATTAGATTGAGGGCCTTTTGATGACACATTGGAACTTGTGTCAAAGAAGGGAAAGCTGAAGTTTCACAGCCTTGAAATCAGAGTTCCATCCCTGCCACCACAGTGAGTCCCAGAGTAACCAGCAAAGTGAAAAGATTTATTCAAGGAAGGATTGCAATTTCTTTTATGGTTTTCATAAGTTCATAATCTTGGATAAAGAGGTAGACTCTGTATATATCTGAGATAGATAATGATAAAGGGTTAGAATTTAGGATGTTTTGCATCAGACTTCAGGTGTGAATCCCAGCACTGTTGTGAACTGCCTGCACGGGCTGGGACATGGCATTAACTATATGGCTTTGTCCACGTGTCTATAGCAGAGACTATGGACTCTTCCTCACAGGTTTATGCTTGGAACTAGGCAAGATGGCAAACACAGTGTTTATGATATCATCAAATTTTCATAGTCTGGTTGTTCAATGTCCTCTGGAGGTTAATGTGTAAAGAAAGATCTTATCTTGAGGATGGTGCTACTGAGTGATAGTGAATCCTTTAGGAGGACACCTTCAAAGAAGTTCTTAGGTCACTGGGGAAAGGCTCATGATTGAGACTGGAGGATCCTGATAGTTATGGATTGGGATGTTATTGTTCTGGTCAATCATATACTCATCCACAATGCACAGCCCTTATAAGAGGATTCCAGGTCCTATCTGCTGAACTTGGTCTACACTTCCAGAACTCAGTTCTGGCCTTTTTCCTTTAAGTCTTTTTCTTTCTGAATGAATTATCTTAGGCATTTGATTATAATGAAAGAAAGCTAAACAAGTGCTCCCAGTTGTGTGTTTAAACATTTTAGCTGGAAAAATGACAGTAGTATTATCTTGTATCTCTCCCTATTACTGCTCCTTGAGGCAATTAAGTTCATTTATATAGTTCATAATCTTATCATACAGTGCTAAATTGAGTCAACCATTGCAAGCTTCCTAAGAAGTAACCAAGGCTTCCACTGACACAAAGATAAGGGGATCCATGTATATTTCTGCAGTATCCATGGTTTTTCAAGCTTTGCTGACTCAATTGGCTGTATAGAGAATATCCATGAATGTTCTCACTGTTTCTCTCTCATTCTTTTTCTCATACTAGGAACTGAACCTAGTGTTTCAGGTATACGAAGTTAACACTATTGACCTATAACCCCAGGCTCCCCATCTCATTTATTTTTATAGAGGGTCATTTTATTTTTAGGTGTGTGAGAGAGAGAGGGGGAAGGGGATAGAGAGAGAGAGAGAGAGAGAGAGAGAGAGAGAGAGAGAGAGAGAGAGAGGCTAAAACAGGGCGTCAGATCCCCTGGAGCTGGAGTTACAGATTACTGTGAGCTGGGAACTGTGGTCCTTGCAAGAGCAGCTGCTGAGCCAACTTGCCATTCCCACCTCTCTCATTTAAAGTGACATTTGGGACAGGGTCTTTTAGTGTATCCTTACAATTGGAGCTTTGCCATTTATAAGTAGATGCCAGAGGGGGAAAAGTAATCCAATTGTCCTTAATGCCTTATAAATTAGGTTTGTAACCACATTAGGGCTCATTTTCACTTTAAGCAACACAGAAAATGAGATGTCAGTCTCATTTCAGATTTCCTAAAGAAGGATATTATAAACATACAAATGGTACTTTTATAATTCCTGGGGGAATTATCAAAATGCTGAGAATGAGAATCGGGGATTGACTGTGTCATAGATACCTCCAAATACTACTGCTGGCCATACTTGACTCCTCTGATAATGTTGGAGGCAGGCAGTGTGAGTGGTGTGAGTGGTGTGTGTGTGTGTGTGTGTGTGTGTGTGTGTGTGTGTGTTCTTATTCTGAAGTTACTGCACTGAGATCAAGAAGGTAATTTAAGGTCTTCCTATGTCTTGAACATGCAGAATTTAGACTTGCTATCAACAATGATCAGGTTTCTTAAATATTATGTCTTCACTGGCACCCTTCTATAAGTCTTGATTAATTATTCCTAGAACTTTTGTTGTTGTTCATTTGTTTGAGATGGAGTGTTGCTGCTGGCTAAGCTGACCTCTAACTCTGAGCCCTCCTACCTCAGCTTCTCCAACACAACCATCCTTGACTGGAATTTTAAAAGTATAGTTACGTAACTGAGTTCCTCCACACATATATGGCTATCATTGCAGAATACAGTATTTAGCTGATATTAAACCACTTTACTCTAAATGAAAACCACTATTGGATTGCTTGTGTAGCCTCAATTCTTTAGTCTTCAGTGTGGCAAAAGAACAGCTGTCCACTGAAACCATTTTTTTCTGGCATGGACAATTGGAGTAAATTTTCCAAGATATTTCAAGTAGTTAGATGAACTGTGTGGTCAAATTCTATATTGGAATGTGAGCACAATAATGTCTGCCAAGGCATGTGCTTTCCTTCCTTTTACTGGACAGAGAAGAGTCTGCCAGATGCAGAACAACTCTAGATACTCTGTGATAAAGGTGAAACCCTCTGTCAGCGAGATTTTTCCAAATTGCTGTATATAGAATAGGTACCCAGTACTAAAAATCTTGCCCTTGATAATATATAGATGTTGTCCAAACTTATTATATATTGAAACCAGAGTGTGTTTGGATGTTGCTTAACACCTTTAGCATACACCAACCAGTACAGATGATGTCAAGAAGATGTTCTAAAATTACACATTTTTGCTGGATTCACAAGGGACTAGCAATGGTTTATATCACATTAACAGTTTTTATTTTGTCAAATGGTTTTGCACATGTATTACTATTTGAAAGTATTAAAATAGTATTTGTAAAACAGTAGCTGAAAACACACAGACAAAAGCTGTCACTGTAAAGATAACTTTGAAAAGAAGTAAGAGATATATTGTTCAAATTTTTTGTATGTGTAGAAAAATCTAAAGAATCATTAAGAAAACAAACAAGAATCATATTCAATTTAATTTTGTCTTGATGATCCATATACTTCACAGATTTACTTTTGTGGTCCAAATTACCAGTAAGAAAAACTTCCTGTTAAAATAAGAATTTCTCTTACCTGCCAATGAAGACATATTGATGATGACACCACCTTCACCTCCATTTTGCTTACTCATGTAATCCAAACCAAGGTAGGTTCCACTGATAACAGAAACCTAATCCAGAAACAATAATGGAAAAAGTGATGCAACTATTGGTCTTTTTTAAAATTCATTTTACATACCAACCTCAGTAGCCTCTCCCTTCTCCCTCCCACATCCACCCAACCCACCAGCTTCCCATGGGGAGTCAACAAGGCCTGGCACAGCTATTAGTCTTTATCATACGTCTGCATACCAAACACTTAGTTCACTCAGGTATATAGGGATATCTGCAAATATAATCAATAAGAGATTTGCATGCTTTAAATTTTAATTGATGCTAATTTATTTTTTTGTCTTTCTAACATTAGTATAGGTTATTGTATTTCTACATAATTTCACCTAACATTGTTGGGCATATTTACTTCTGGACAGGTAGTCTACCCTGAAGAGCAATTTGTTCCTTTGGTTAGACTCCCTTAGAGAAAACTGAATTATCATTTGCAAACATGTATATTCTTATCAGCAGTGTATAAAGGCGCCCTTTTCCCTACATCCTTGTAAACATTATTTTATTTGCTTTCCTTTGACTTAGTTTCATTTGCATTTGCATTTTCCTGGTGGCTAAGAATGTTGGAAGTTTGGGAATTGTTTATTCACTTCATTAGTCAATTTACTATTATGTTTTGATTTTTAATTTGAGATTGTGTTTTTTTCCTTTGAGTTCTTATTTTTAAAGATTGGTTATCTTCTTTTTATTAAAGTCAAGCTAAATCAAATAAGTCCAGTAGTATTCAGTACATCAGTTCAACTGACTTCAAAATAAATGATTACCTTAGTTACAATGCTGATCACAAGTTTTATTTACTAAGGCAAGAGCAAGAGGCAGTGCAGGCTTATCACCCCCGGAAGTGGGTGCCTCCGTGATCAGTGCAGGAATACTGGCTGGCTTGATTTTGTGCAGGAAACCATAGCTGCTGTGAGTTCATGAGAGCAGAAGGGAGTAATGGTAGTAGGGGTGGGATGAGTTGGAAAAGACAGAGTGTGGGGTAGTTTTTATCAAAATGCTATGTTATGAAATCAAACAATAAATAAAAAATAAAACAAAACTATCAAGAATATTTTTAGTGCAAAGTTGTGTATAAAACCAAATCAACTATTAGAATATATGGAGTTGTTTATATACTCTGGTTATTAATCTTTCTTTAGATAAATAATTAGGAAAGAAATTTTAGCATTCTATAGGCTATCTCTTCATTCAGTTGTTTATTTTGTTGTGCAGAAATTTTTGACTTTCACAGATCTTACTTGTCAATTATTACTATTATTTCCCAAGGACTGGAGTCCTTTTCAGAAAGCTAAAGCGCAGCCTTGCTATCAGTTTCATGAAGATGAAACCTGAGTAAAAGATGACGACAACAGCACTGATTACTGTTTGGAATAAGCTGGACTGTTCCCCTACTGTTTGGGGAAATCACATAATTCTTTTCTAGCCCTAGTTTGAGTGGAAAATTTCTGTTACTTGGCAAAGTCTTTAGGCATATCTACTACTTAATGTTATTCACTACACTGATGGCTTCATTCTGATAGTCAGTCTACTGTTTTCCAGCTCACCTCCTTCAGTGGAAAGTAGTTGTACTTTTACTCTAACTTGTAAGAATTTACTATTCTCTGAAACAATTCTTTTCTATTTCTGCTTAAGCTTTTCAAGAATGAAAATTCTCTTTGGACAGCTTAATTCTTGCTTTATCTATGCATAGAAAAAGGTCAAAAGGCCATGAGTCTGAAACTGAGAGTCCATATTAGTTTTTGCATTCTTTTAATTTTAAGAAGTACTCCCTTAGCAAGTGTTCAAAGAGACTCCTTTTCCTAATAGTATTTCTAGAACAACAACAAAACAAAAATAAGCCAAAACTTCTATTCATTTAAGGCATTTTTCCAGGTAAGTGAGGGCACAAAGAATTTATCACAGTTGCCCTCTAAATGAAAAAGAAGACTTAATGAATTATATAAGAAAGAAACAAATATGTACATGGCTGAAATTACTGAAATCCATTAGATTCTTTTAGTTTCTGCCAAATTCTTCAGCATGCGCAAATAAGGATCTAGTTAACACACACCAGTGTGTGCTTTTATTCTGATATTTAAAGTTTTGCTGCCATTCTGTGTTTCCAAAATCTGCAAGTTGTAGCAAGATATTAAAGTTTAAGCTTCAATTTTAAGCTATTTTAAAAAATATATTTATATTATTTCACATGTATGGATGAGCACCAGGTGGGTGGCTGGTACCTTTCAAGGTTTGGGGAAAGTATCAGGTCCCTGGAACTGGAGTTACAGAGAGTTGTGAGTCACTCTGATGGTGCTGGGAACCAAACCCATATCCTCTGCAAGAGCAACCAATGCTCTTAAGTGTTGAACCATCTCTCCAGCACCCTAGTTTTAAAAAGCAAGGGAGTATTTTTCTCAACCATCTAAGTTGAAGAACTGAGTAACTTTTTAAGTGAAAGAGTTGATGGAAGAAACTTCAATTATTATCTAATGTTTGGGTTGTATACAAATGATATTTTCATTTCTTTACTATAACAATCTTTTCCACGTTCCAGATTTCACACACTACCCCCCAACAATGAACTTTTAGAAAAGTCATATAATGAAATATTTCTTTTTAGTATTTCTTGGTTTTGAAAAATGCTTATATATCTTATGTATTGGATCATCTATCATGTCTCCATTTCCCTCATCTCACACCCTTGCACTTTGAGGTACTTGATAGTTTATGGCTCTTACACTACATTGTAATGAGAATATTGTGGTATCCAAATCATGTGACTTTACTTTTTAGGGGCCTTGTATTTTCTGCAGGCCAGTTCTCAAAGAATATTAATAAGGATGATTATTTTTCTGAAATCACCTTCACTTTAATTTTTCATGTCTAAGTTTCTTGCTTTAGTGCTGAATGTTATGTCTTATACTTTGTTAGAGATACTTATATTTTAGCAAAGTTTTCCTTATATACTTCAACTAGAACTTTCATTGTTATAGGGTATTAATGGCAGCAAATAAGTTATTTCATTGCCCTAAATATCCTTTGGAGCCAACAAAAGGAAACACCTGAAGAACAGTGGAGGTGGGGAATTCATCCTTTAATGAAACAAAGTATTTTTTCTTCCCAGAAATCCCACCCCAAGTGCGACACCTACTAGGGCACCATGGGGTTCTGCTTGGCTCTGCCCATGATTCTGAGTCCTGACTCAGACAAGAGTCATTTTCCTTTATGCTTCTCTTTCATTTTTGTTCTTTGGGTGCTGGAAAGAGTCTTGTATGCTTTGTGTAATACTTTTGGATTTTTCACACTATTTCTGATGTTACTCTCCCCACTATGTTTCTGTTGTCTGCCATATGGCTGACCTCCATATTGGCTTAACTCAAACAGCATGCTTTCATCTTTTTTCTTAAGCTCTCATTGATGAATGCATAATGCACAGTTCTGCCTATTTTCTCAATTCACTTCCTTATTAGATGCAAAATAAGGCAGAAGAATCCACTTCATATGAAAAGGAGACCATATACAAATATATATTCTGATATCTAGAGAGGAAATGCTTTATTGAATGTCTCTTTCATAACATGTGGCTGTATTCTTTACACAAATTATGTTCCATTTAAACTTAATGGTGGTTAGAGGTAGGAAATTTAACTTCTTTTCACAACTGTGAAATTCAAGATCAGAGATATAAAGCAAGAGTCCATAAATTGTTAGATTCAGAACTAAACTTAAGTTTTAATCCCAAATATGCCTCCTTTACTTCCCCAGAGAAAATTGGTTGTCAGCTAGTATTTCTAGAAATAAAGTCATAAAAAACAGCTTTATATTTTGCTGTACATTTGACTATAGTAAGGGATCCAATATATGTTAATTGTATATCAAAATTAGATTGTTTTTCTCATTTGTGTGGAGATGAATTGTTTATGTTTCTTAAAGCTTCAAAATGTTAAAAGAATGACATTGTAGAATTGCTTTACCAATATTCAAAGCAATTCTACCTAACTAACAAAGTTATTACACATATACAAAACAACTAAGCATTAAATACAGCACAATGACTTCATGTGTGAAAATGTAGAGTACTATTTTATGAGTTTCTTCCTAGGGGTTAATAAGCTTAGACACAGGAACTAGATGGGGCTGGATAGATGGTTCAGCTGTTACTTGCACTGTTTTGTTTTGTTTTTCCCTGAGGACTGAGTGCAGGGTTCATATATATGAAACAGATATTATGCCACTGCCAAGTACCTCCATCTCCAATGCATCCTCCTGATCTATTGATCTATCATCATGGATCTATTGCCTACCATTGATCTACCAGAATGATTATTTGTGATTTTTGTGAAAACTCATTCTATCTCAGACATCCCTGGTGAGCCCTGAGGGATTACAAATGACCCTGGCATTTCTTTCAGATAAAGGGAGAAGCTAAAAAATAACTTGTGAGACAATAGAATGAGTGGTTTCCCTACATGGAAAGACTGGTGAGATCATGAGATTGAAGAATAAGAAAGGGGTAACCATGGTAAGCAATGAAAGCGCAAGGACACATGAGATGGTTTGGCAAATCACCAAAGACTGTATTAAAACACAGAGATGCACACTCAACTATCACATATTAATTTGTACAAGACTCTTTGTACTTCTACCCAGTAAGAACACAAAAAGTAATTTTCTGTCCTCAAAGAACTTAATTTGTGCTAGCATGAATTGTATATCTGAAAACAATTCTAGTGGAATTATCCAGTGTAGAGTCCTTTGGGATTGGGGGGACCATGTTGAATAGGATTTCTCAGGAGGATGCATTGTGGACATGGCAATGATGTAATATCTGTTTTGTATATATGAGCCCTGAACTCACTCCTCAGGAGAACAAAACAAAACAGAACAAAAACCCTGCTCTTAATGGCGGAACCATCTCTCCAATTTTTAAGCTTATTATCCCAAGGAAGAAAGTCATGAAACAGTACACTATATTCTCTCACACAAAGTCACTGTACAGTACTTGATGCTTGGCTGCTTTGCAAATTTGTAAGAACTTGAGCCAGGGCATGGTGGCCCTGTATAAAATCCATCTGACATTTTGTTTTAGATACACACCTCTTACGTTTTGTTGTTGTTCTTGTTTTCTTGCAATGTTGGGGAAAGGTTTAGGTTTTATGAAACTGCAATAGACTTATTTGAGGGTGTTCATAAAATGTTATAATCTATCCACTTGTGCAACATTGGATGAATTGAAAATCTCATTTTAAAATTTTACTCATAATTTACTTCAGAGCTAACTCATCCTCAAATGTGGATATCACACACAAGAACATGTTTGTCGACACACACACACACACCCTGAATTACTTAATTTCATGACAAATGTTATATTAATAATAAAGCCCAATTGTCTCTTTAACCTTGTTTTCTGATCTATTTCCAGAATTTAAGACATGTTTTTCAAATAAGTTAGTTGAGTCAGGATTAAGGACCAGATGGAAAATATTTTCAGCGTGGCAAGCCATAAGGATTTTGTCACAACATTCAGTCTGCCATTATTGCAAAAAAAAATCTAGACACAAAAATACATAACAAAGACTACAGGGTTGTATCTTAATAAAATTTATAGATACTGAAATTCCAGTTTCACTTATTCACATATTTCAGGTCATTAATGAACTGTATTATGCTTCTCTCTAATATTTAAGACATGTTTTCATAATTATAAATATCAAGTATCTTCATATTTTTGAAAAGATTATTTGTTAGCTTTTGTTAACTTATACTTTTCTATTTGGAAGGCCATAATTGATGTTCTATAAATATAATCATAACATTTTATGTATAAAAAGTGACACTGAATACTTTAGTAAATAAATGAGCCTAATATAGCTTACCAAATTAATTTGCAGTGTCTGTTCCCAGTTTTTCTCATTGTTCACTCCTGCATTATTGACCAAAATATCCAATCTTCCAAAATGGTCTACGACTTTTCTAAAAGTATCTAATAAAAAAGAGACAGATATTTTCATTTTTCCATATATGTATTTAAATCATTTCCTATGAGAGGACATTGATTTTATTTTATTATTTTATTTTATTATTGTACTATAGGTTGAATTTAGGACCTCACATACTAGACAAGCCCTCTACCACTGAGCTATATCCTTAGTCACATTTGACTTCTTATTGTGAGTCATGGTCTCACTAAATTGCCTAGATTGTCCTTAAATTTAGAATCCTCATGCTTCAGCTTCCTTAGCTGAAATTACAGGCTTGTACCATAAAGATTGGCTGAATTTTTAAATCTGTTTGACCACAGATTTAAATTTAATTAAGTTTAAGTTTAAGTTTAATTAAGACCACAATTTAAGAATTACACTCATAATCTAGTTCTCCATAAGTGGTTCTCCATAAGCTCAATTTTAATAACCTAGATATACATAAGTGTTAGATTAGTATAGTTATTGCATGCCTACTAAATCAGAATCTGACTTCAACATATCCTTAGATAATTTGAATTCATATCAGTGTTCTATCATTAATGGAGTTAATATTAAAGAAGTGACCATCCCAAACTGTGAACTCTCTGGAGAGCAGTTTGTACAGCTAGTGTCTTTCTTTTCTTAAGAAATTTTGAAACTATTTGGTATAGATTGTAAGACACATTCTTTGTGCTTGTTTGAAACAAGGGTCAAATCTAGGACCTACACATTATAGAAAAGTGTACAGAACTCTGTACAATAAAGGAACTTCTGGAGGCATCACCATCCCTGACTTCAAGCTCTACTATAGACCCATAGTTCTGAAAACAGCTTGGTATTGGCACAAAAATAGATAGACCAAATGAAATTGAATTGAAAACCCCAGTATTAACCCGAATACCTACAAACACCTTATTTTTGACAAAGATGCTAAATCTATACAAAGGAAAAAAGATAGCATCTTCAACAAATGTTGCTGGCAGAACTGGATTCAGACATGCAGAAGATTGCAGATAGATCCATATCTGTCACCATGCAAAAAACTTAAGTACAGAGGGATCAAAAATATCAACAAAAATCTAGCCACTCTGAATCTTCTAGAAGAGAAAGTGGGAGATATCCTTGAACAAATTGGCATAGGAGACTGCTTCCTGAACATTACACCAGTAGCACAGACATTGAGATCTGCAATTAATAAATGGGACCTTCTGAAACTGAGAAGCTTCTGTAAGGCAAAGGACACAGTCAGTAAGACAAAACGACAGCCCACAGAATGGGAAAAGACCTTTACCAACCCCACATCTGACAGAGGGCTGATTTCCAAAATATACAAGGAGCTCAAGAAGCTAGCCACCAAAACACCAAACAATGAAATTATAAAGTGGGGTGCAGAACTAAATAGAGAATTCTCAACAGGAATCTGAAATGCCTGCAAGACACTTAAGAAAGTGCTCAAAACCCTTGGCCATCAGAGAAATGCAACTCAAAACAACTCTGAGATACCATCTTACACCTGCCAGAATGGCTAAAATCAAAACACCAATGACAATCTATGCTGGAGAGGATGTGGAACAAAAGAACAATACTCCATTGCTGGTGGGAGGGCGAACTTGTAAGACCACTCTGGAAAGCAGTATGGCAGTGGCTCAGAAAAATGGGAATCAGTTTACCTCAAGATCCAACAATTCCTCTCTTGGGCATATACCCAAATAATGCATGTCCATACAACAAGGTCATATGTTCCACCATGTTCATAACAGCATTGTTTGTAATAGCCAGAACCTGGAAACAACCTAGATGCTCCTCAACTGAAGAATGGATAGAGAAAATGTAGTACATTTATACAATGGAGTACTACTCAGCAGGAAAAAGCAATGGAATCTTGAAATTTGCAGGCAAATGGATGGAACTAGAAGAAACCACCCTGAGTGAGTTAACCCAGTCACAAACAGACAAACGTGGTATGTACTCACTTAAATATGAATTTTGGACTTAGAGCAAAGGATTACCAGCCTACAATCCTCTTCACCTAAGAAACTAGGAAACAAGAAGGACTCTAAGAGAAAAATGCATGGACCCCAGAGAATGGGAAGGGGCAGGATCTCATTAGCTAATTGGGAGCATGAGGGTAGGGGACAGGGAGCTGCCAGAATGAGAGGAGGAGAAGAGGAGGGGAGAGGAGGAAATGGAGGACAGAAATGTTGAGTTGGGGGAAGAATAGAGGAGAGTAGGATGAGAGATACCATATTAGAGGGAACAATTATAGGTCTGAGGAGAGATCTGGCACTAGGGAGATTTCCAACAATCTACATAAAAGACATGAACTGACAATCTAGGCCATGGTGGAGAGGATAAACTAAATGCCCTTCCCTTATAATGAGACTGATGACTACTTTTTATGTCATTCTAGAGTCCTCACCCAGTGGCTGATGGAAGCAGAGACAGACACCCACAGATATACACTGAACTGAACTCTGGAACCTAGTTGCAGAGAGGGAGGAATGAAGATAAAAGGGGTAGGTACCAGGCTGGTGAAACCCACAGAATCAGCTGGCCTGAACAAAAAGGAGCACATGGACTCCAGACTGCTGTCTGGGAGTCCAGTACGGGACAGATCCAGACCCCTGAACATGGGCCAAGGGTGTGTGGGTGTGCTTTGGGGAGCCCCATCGAGGAGCCCTACCCTGCCTGGGGAGTGGAGGGTGGATGGGGTGGGGGGCAGGTGGGGGTTGGGGAGAGGGTTGGTGGGGAGGGAAAGGAGAAGGGATTGACATGTTAAGGAAGCTTGTTCCTAATTTGAACTAATAAAAATTAATTACAAAAAAGTAAAAAAAAATGAAAAGTGCTCTACCATAAGAATTTTGCCCTTAGCCCTTCAAATAATCCCCTTTAATAAGCTATATTATATATATAAAGCATTAAACTAGCTCAAGTACTCATGCATTTAAATCCATTATGACCACATTTCAGGAATCTTTGATGTCCAAATAAGTAGAAGTTTACTTTATATTCAGTTGATTTCATCATGTTAATGTTACTTTCATGTTTACTGTTTTATTCCTCCCACCTATTACCATTACTATTTTACATTATACTTTATGTAAAACTGTGTTGAATTGGAAAAGTTTATGTAGCTTCCAAGACCTGAATCTCACTCACTGAATTGTCTAAGCACATATCAAGGTTTTGCAAACTCTCTAGACAATTCAAAGTTGGCTTTACCACTTTAGTATTGGGAAGTTAAATTTTGTTTTTGAGACATGGTTTCTCAGTGTAGCCTTGGCTATCCTGGAACTCACTCTGTAGACCAGCCTGGCCTTGAACTCACAGAAGTTCTCCTGCCTTTGTCTCCCAAGTGCTGGAATTAAAGGAGTGTGTCACCACCACCTGCCAAGAAGCTCGTATTTCTTAAAGCATCTTTTTATATAGTTCTATAGATTTAATAAGTTCCCTGGTCATTTTCTGCTTCTATTACTTCAGACTATAGACAACAACTGTGCTTATTCTTTCACACAACAGAAATGTATTTCCAGGTGTGCAGGTGAACACATGGACTTCTTTAAATAGGTAGATCAATTCAAATGATCTTTATTTATTGAGTTATTAACAGCCATCAAATATTTGGGGGGAGGCAATTAGCATGCAAGTTGTTTGTTAAGCATATTGTCAGTTTTTGCACAGCATCATTTTGTACTCATTGGGCCAAATTGGAAAACAATAAATTAATAACAATAAAACAAAGCTTTATACTTTTAGTGGAGTTTTAAAACTATTTCTTAAGTCTTATTGGTGAGAATAAGCCAAGGAATATTAATCTGCCCCTACCTCTTCTATCTTAGATCTTATAATCACTCCTCTACAGGCACAGCCCCACTTTATGGGAAATTAAGTTATCAAATACATATGTCTGATTTTTTCTTTAATTTTCTTCCCTCCTTGTTGCCACTGCTTGGATTTTACCAAAGTGTCCTGTGTCATCTGCTTTTTGTGAGCTGCCATAAGGTTGCTGGAAAGTGAACTTGGGATCTCTGGAAGAGCAGTTAGTGGTCTTAGCAACTCAGCCGTCTCTCCAGCTGCCATCTACTTTTTGGTATATCACTGAGATCTTGGCTCATGTGACTTCAAAGTTGAGCTCCCTCTGACAGTTACATGGTATGGTACTCTTTATCATACTTTCTGTGCTGTTTCCATTTGTTAATTTGTACAGTAACACGTCTAGGTGAAGAACCCTTACTACTCCGTATTTTTACAATGTGTCTAAACAGTTTTAAAGGTTATGAAGTTTTGAGATTCACTATCACCCTTTCATTTTGTGTTTGTACCTCTCTAAACAACAGGTGGACTTCTTATAGTTGACAGGCCTTCTAGATCATGTGTTATGTGTCTGAGTTCCCTTCACAATTACTTATGCTTAAAGAAAATGTTCATAGCCATAGTTCTCATTTTAAACACTGGCAAAGTAACTTACATTAAATGTCATGTGTAAAGCTATATAAATTATTTATACTGGTCCCAATTCCAGCAGCATGATTGCTGGGTCTTCTTTGAACCTAAATGTCATTAATATGCTATCAATAAAACTATCCTCTGGCAAAGCGTGCTCTAAGACTTTGAGTATAACTAGGAGTATGACTGCTCTTAAAAATCTGTTCTACTCATGCATGCAATCTCTTGCCTGACATATTATCACCCACATTTTAATGATATTCTCTTTAATACAATTTCCCATATCTTTAGATTCATTGTCTTCTAACAGATCTGTCCATTTTATTCACGGGATATATTAAGATTTAAGAATCCTAGGACCTCAGTACCCTTTTAAAAGTAACTCTAGTGTAAACCTGGTGGAAGTTTTTTGACTTCTGGATTGACAATGTGCCTACCAATTTACTCCATTCCTTGGAATAACAGCTTGCGAAACACCAATCTATTTTTTCTATTTTTTCCCCTGGGAAATTTTCTTTATGAAAATTCCTCGAGCCCTCTATACATAGCCAGTGTATATTGCTGACGCCAATATTCTTCCTGATATTTCACATGTCTATTTTAAGAGGTCACAGAAAAACAGGAAAACATTGGGGAAAGGCGATAGCGTCTTTTTGTCTTTAATTCTAACATCACACCGTTATTATTTTAAGAGCCATGGGGGTGGGGGGAGAAAACATCTGGCTAAAGGCATTTGGTTTGCCTGAGACTATGACCCTTGACTCTGTACTCTGAAGTGTTTAAGACAAAGGCATGCCACATTGCTTGCCATTGACTGTGTTTTCCAGCTTTCTGAGAGCTCTTGCCACAGTTCCTCAGTCTGTCCCTTCACTGAGTAATTACCGTAGCAGCAGCACTGTCTTCGAATACACAAAAGACATTTGATTACATTATGTGCTGCCAAGTAACTAAAATAAAAGGATTTCTTAGGCAGTCCTGTCTTCCCTTAGTTTTTATAGCCATGGATTGTCAGAAAGAAACACAACAGTCCAAACTATCCTTTGGAGATAGAAGGTCGCAGCTTCTCCGGAGAGATAGAGCAACGCCTGAGCTCAGCCCTGTGGGCTCTTACCTGGCAGTCTTCAGGTTGCTGCTTGCTCAGGGCGTGTTCCCGAGTCTATAGACTGATTTCCCATGTCTTACCTCTCAGTTGTTTCTGGTCAGCCACATCACACTGGACAAACAGAGTCTTCTGAGATTCGAACTGCTCATCCAGGGCAGCTTTACACTTTATACCTACTTCGAGATTCCAATCCACCAACGCTACCTACAAATAAGGAAAGGGCGCCCCCGCCCCCGGAGCCACAGACGCACAAGCAATGAATAAACAAGACGCTCCCTTCTTAGACCTCAGAATGTGCTCATCCAAGTTCGGGTTCTCTGCCAGAGGCGTTGGAGGTCTGTTAGTGAGCCTGGGGCTTTGCACCCTAGGGGCTCCAGAGTGAGGGTGGACAGAGAAGTACTTACCTTGGCACCATGGTGCAGCAGAGCCTCGGCGAAGGCTCTGCCTATGCCCTGCGCTGCACCGGTCACCAGGGCCACTTTGCCGTTCACGTGCATGGTGGGTCGCGGCTCCGCGGTGGTGGGCGAGCTCTGCGTCTCTGCGGCAGCTTTTATGGTCCCCTCCGAGCGCCTGTGCAGCGGCGGTGCTGGGAGATCTCTTGCCAGTGGGCGGGGATGAAACTGTCAAACCAGCGCCTAGGAAACAGTCACTGTGTCACCTGCCCCCAAGCACCCGGGTAGACCTGAGGGGATTTTTGCCTTCTAGGCTTTCAGCTGTTGCAGGATTTGCTCTCAGTCCTCTGGTTGCTTGAAGGTGCTGAGCTGACAGAGGAAAGGCAGAAAGGAAGGAACAAAAACTTTCAAAAAAGTTTCTTGGACTACTCGAAGGCTAATCCTATAGGAGAGCAGAGGAGAGGCTGGGGAACTTAGATTTCTCCTCCCATCCTCAACAATATTAAACTACAAGCAAGCAAAGGAACGAACAAAAGCAAAATTTTAGGGACGATGCTCTGTGAGTGAATGTGTGTGTGTGTGTGTGTGTGTGTGTGTGTGTGTGTGTGTGTGTGTGTGTTAAAGTTTTTATAACCTCTCATCTCATAAATGAAAACTATTGTAGGGTAAGAGTGAGCGATGATAACTTTATTTACTGATGTTTTGTACAAATATTGGGCATGGAAGTTTAGTTTTGCTCTGACCCCCCAAAACCCTGATTCATATTTCAGCACTAGAGCTTTAAGAATCTTCTCAGGGCGTCTGTTGCAGATTAGTGTCAATTGTGTGTTATCTTAAATGGTCCACAGTCATACTTTTGCTTAAACTGTCAGCATCACTGGTATCCTGGTATATGGTGGCTTTAATGCAAACACTGGAAAGTCCTGGTCCCTGAGGCTCAGTTTACAGGCTTAGGATGGAAGTCTCCCCAGCCCTGCAGGAACTGGAGCGCTATGTGCCACGGTGACTGTGTGCCAGGACTCAGGTCCACTGCCTAAGCCTTTCCCTTTCTCACGTTCGAAGTGGTAGGCTTCAAAGAACATTCTGTCATTTTAATTCATTGGCATTTATTTTTATAAACAAAGAAATCTGAGCACTCCGGACAGCCCGAGATCAACATCAGAATGAGGTCTTTGTGTACTTTGCCTGCTTATAGAAGGAAATCTTAGGGAATGCTCCTGGTTCCTCAGGGAAGTGTTTGGGAAGGCTGCATAAAATCGAGTTGGTATTGAGCCAACTGGTTTCCAAGTTGCCTTGAAACTCGATCTTGAAAAGAAAATGTGGAGAAAAGAAGATAGGACGATATTTATATTCCAGCATTGTACTGAGAAGAGGAAGTGGAGGGAACCATAGTTTAATTTTTTCTTTATTCTTGAGAATTTCATGCGTGTATTCAATGAAATACAACCATCTCAACCCCCTGTTTTCTCCCACCAAGTGTCCTCAAGTCCCACCAAACTGCTTCTTATTTTTCAAGTAACCCACTAAGTTCAGTTAGTCCCACCCATATCTTCATGGATGTGAGACCAGGCACTGAAGCATAGGAAACTCCCAGTGGCCACATGAGGGCTTATGTTGAAGTAGAAAAACAGAGACAAAAAAATCATAATAAAAAAAAGGCAAATAACAAAAAACCAGCACCAATCACATTCATGCCACAAAGGGGTGCAGGAAGGAGCAGTCCTTTCCCTAGGAAAGGCTAGTCACAGCTGGAAAAAAAAAAACACTACTGAAATATGAGTGGTGATGTCTAAAGATCAGCTTTGCCATGCTCAACAAGGAGAGCAAGTTTCCAAGAAGAAAAAAAGTGGTTTCGAATGCCCGGTGCTTTGATGAATATGGGGTATGTGTGTGTGTGTGGGGGGGGGGTTGGCAAAAGATTTTTTAATTCTCTAGGGGAATAATAGCTAGTATGAGTCACTTTAAAAGGCCCAGTTCCTAAAGCTAAAATTTTAGGAGAAAGTAGCTGAGTAGGGGAGAGATTATTTCAGAGCAAGACCATCATTACAGAACATGGGCTGAGTTGTAATTGGAGAGATTAGAAGGTGAGTAAGTTTTTCCTTTAAGAAAAGGACAAGGATGGTTTAAACTAAAGACTGTATCAAGGAGAAAAACAGGAGTTTGAGGGTCTATGGGTGAGCTTTAAGGTGACCTTGTGGGTGTTGCTTCTTCTATCATGCCTTAGATTCCTTATTTGTTAAGTAAGAATTAAGCAATGCATGTGAGGTATTACCACAGGGCCTGGCACAGAATAATAGCACAGTAAATACTAATCTTAACAAATTGTTTCTAGATTGTTCATAAATCATATGTGTAAGATAGGGGAAAACAAGGACTTTTTTTGTACATAAGGAAGATCTAAGATTTCCAAATTAGGACCTGTGAGCCCTCCCTAATCGATTTACAATTTCCCGTCTTCAGCTGCTTCATTTGAACTTTGTCTTTTGTGATAGGAAACAGCACTTAGGCTATTGAACTTATCTGCCCTTAATTTTCTTCAATTCGGCTTCCATGCAAAACCAGGAAAAGTTCTAAAGACATGGATGGGCTCATGCTTCCCCACTCTTGTGATGAAAATTCTTTAACTCCAGGGTACTGTATATGATGTAATCAGTGCTGTACATTTATCTGGTAGCATCTTACTACAATCCCGGAAGCAGTATCAGTTACAACATATTCCAATCTCCACCCTCAAGACCTTGTCCTGCAAGGCTTGCTCACTGCAACATCCTTCTCCTCCCATTTTCATAGACTGCTTTCGTTTTCGGCTATCCAATCCCTATCCTGGAAAATCCAGCTTTCCACTGACTATAATTAGTTGACAAGGTGAGTGCCTTTACAGAGGAAGGCTGTGTCTTTTTCTGTGTGTCTTCCACACACCCACTGGCCCCAGTGGGTGTGTTCTCAGTGCATGCTGGGTGAAGAAAAGCAGAGGTGAACATGAATTATGTCAAGAGAAGATGTAAAGTTTTGCCTGAATGCTGAGATTTCGGCTATCATGGGGATTTTCTTCACATATTAAAATCAGAAAAATTTTAGTGTTTTTAGAAAAATATTTACAAAATTTAATATATTTTATAAGAAAGGTACATTTTGTGGAGTACAGGTTTTCAAAGTATGATGTGAAGATTCTCTGGATTTCTTCAGTGACCTTAGCTATGTCCCTCCTTTCATTTCTGATTTTGTTAATTTGCATGTTCTCTCTCTACCTTTTGGTTAGTTTGGATAAAGGTTTGTCTATATTGTTTATTTTCTGGAAGAACTAACTCTTTGTTACATTGATTCTTTGAATTATTTTCTTTGTTTCAACTTTATTGATTTCTACCCCCAGTTTGATTATTTCCTGGTGTCTACTCCT